GGGAACCCCCTTCCCAGGCGGGGAGCGGGCTCTGCCCGTGCCCGCAGAGACCGCTCGCCTGTGGGGGCCGCTCAGCAAGCCGATTGCTTTCTGTTTCCCTTGCAGAAAAGTCCGTGCATTTCTCATCCATCGCAGAGGCTCAGAAGCTGAGCGCGGAGCCGACGGCCACCTCGTGCTGGCCCCCTGTCCTGTCCTACTCCCGGGATGTGATAAAAACCTCTCCCCAGGCGGAGCCCCACTTGTTTCAGTATAACCCACCAGGCAAGTAAAAGCCACCGGCTGCACGGCGTGTGCCCTCCGTCCTGACCCGGGGCCGAGCGCAGAGGCTGCTCTTGTAGGCAGCATCGCAGGTCACACTCTTAAGTCAATGCAGCTTTTTGGGGGGGGGGGAAGGGATTTTTTTTTGCTAACACCTTGCTTTAGTCCGGCACGGAGCTCCCTCGCTGCTAATGCAGTGGTGTGAGGGTGGCCAGGTGGGTCTCCCAGCTCTGGCCAGGGCAGGTTTAGGGACATGGTTTGTCACAGAACAGCGTGGGTGCTCCCTACGCTGCCCTCAGTGCAAAGTCGGGCAAGTTTTATCCCTCGCTGCGCTGTCCCTCTCTGGCTGGAGGGCAGACAAGTCAGGCACAGAACATCCTCAGGCTGCAGAGGGGACGAGGCAGTCATTTAAACTATTCCAGTCCTTTCCAAAACAATCGTGTGACTTGGATCCTAGTGTGGGCTCACAGCCGGACAGTTCATCGCATCCAGCCCGTGCTTCCTCTCTTGCCCTTTTCCTCTCCAATAGCTGCAGCCACTCTGCCTTCCCTCGGTCTTGCTAACACTCGTGTTTTCCACACAGGACACCCCATCCCGCTGAACCTGCATGAGAGCTCTCGCTCGGGGCTGCAGAGACTAGCAAGCATCTCCAACCCTCCTCCCCTCATCTCCTCCACCAAGCACCCCTCCGTGCTGGAGAGATCCGTCGGATCCATTTCCCAGGTAGGGTATTGGGTGGCGTATGGAGCGGCAGGGGCACCCCTTCCGGCAGCCGCTCCTGACCTCTCCTCTCGCACCGCAGGGCATGCCCATCCAGCTCCACACGCCCTACAGCTCTGAGCACGCCAAGGTCCCCGTCGGCTCCATCACCATGGGTCTGCCGCTGACCATGGATCCCAAGAAACTGGGTAAGGAATTGGGCAGCGAGTGATTTCTCATGTGCTCCGAGAGCAGCGGGGAGTGAGCTTGCGGGCGGTATAGGAGAAGGGAGCGCAGGACATGGCAAGGGAGCGCAGAGAGACCTGCTGAGGGGATGAAAGGATTAGTCCTTCAGGAGAGCGGAGACACAGGGAGCTCAATTTGTGCTGTATAGGAAAGCAACGACTCGGTCAGGGACACATCGCAGCCTATAAATACCCTCCGGCTAATACTGTGATCGAAGGAAGGAAATATATTGCTGCTCGCCAGGCCGATAGGATAAAGAGTAAATGGCTGGAGTGAACAAAGAAAGTGTTTAGTCTGCAGATTTGGAAGCATTTCTTGACAGCAGGAGGGGATGGGCAAGGGACCAAGTCTGGGTGGGAGGGATACGGGCCCTATTTCCCATGTGCGCGTGTCCTGTTAGAAACCAGCACTGGCTTTTCAACACCAGCCCCGTTCCCGGTGTGGGCAGCACCCGGCAGTGCCTCTGCCAGGGCAAAGGATCTGGCTTTGCTCGCCGGCAGCTGTGTGTTCAACCCACTGCCGCAGCCTTGGTGAAGTCCATCCCACAGCGGTGGGGACGGCAAAGGCGCCGAGGAGGTGCTGACCCGGGGCTGGCAGAGATGAAAGCCTCGAGCAGCCGAGGGCTGCGGCCCCGTGCCCTGCACCTACACTGATACGTGGTTAATGTTTTCCAGTGCCTTTTCCTGGAGTAAAGCAGGAACAACTTTCTCCTAGAAGCCAGGCCAGCCAGCCGGAAAGTCTGGTTCTGCAGCCGTCCCAGGAGGGCTCCATCCTGCGGGGTGAGGAGCCGGGGGTGGCAAGCACGTGCCCCAGCCGCGGGAGGGGAGGGATGCTGGCAGTGCCGAGCCTGGTGAATGCCACGCTGGCTGCAGCTGCCCGGTGATTTCAGGTTTGATTCCTGGGGTTTGTGCCCAGCCGAAGGGGTCTGTTCACCCCTTTTCTCCAGCATTGCCAGCAGGGTGGCAGACACGTCTGTACAACGTCTCAACGTTTCTAGCCATCTCCCCAAATCAGGGCCTCGGGTGTTGATCCTGGTGGAGGTTTTGTGTTCAAGGGGCACCGGAAAATCTGTTGCTTAAGACAAAGCAAGACCTGTTTAAAATCCATTAATTGTTTTTTTCGGGTTCTTCACCGTTGCTGCCGCAGCTGGGCAGGCACCACATTTCATTTAAATATAGCCCTCCCATGCACCTTTCCCCATTAGCTAGACAGAAGGAAATAAATGCTAAGGTGTTGCTTTCAAGTGCAAATTCTGGTTTGTGAAACCCCCGAACTAAGGCAGTCAGAAGCCTGAGTGTGGTGGGCTGGCTCCAACCCGGGACAGATACACACGAGTGAACTCAAACCACCCCGAGCTGTATCTCACCAGAGATCTGCTCTGATCGCATCAGGAGAGGCTGAGACAGGCTGTGCTTTCTCCCAGGCCCATAAATCTGCCCAGCCCCACTACGAAGGCAGCAGGGAGCTGATAGCCTCAAAATACACATTTTTTCCACCTCCCAGCCCCGCGCTTGCAGGGCTGGGTCCCTCGGGGGACGGGGTGGAAAGGGCTCTGCAAGGCATGGGATTGAACACTGAGGTCTCTTGGAGGGCTTCCCCTCCAGTTCCTCAGCTTGCCAGAGATTGGGTCAAATCCTGCGCTTCGTCCGTAGTCTCAGCCCCACAGGTTTTGTGCTGAACAGCAAATCCAGCCCCTGGCTCACCGGCTTTGTGTCCTACAGGTACTTCCCTCAGCTCTGCCTCGGGAGGGAGCATCACCAAGGGAACGCCCACATCCAGACCCCCTCCGGAGTCGCCCATCACCTACCGAGGATCCATCACACACGTAGGTCGCTCGTCTCCGGCGGGTTTTGCTTCCCGGGTGCTGGTGGCTGCAGCTTGCGGTGCCGGACACAGGGGTCGGGGGTTTGCAGGGTGCACCAAGCGTGGGGCACGGGGCTGAGCAGCACGGCTCTGCGGTGCTCCCGTCCTGTGGAGCCCCTCGGAGAGGTCTGCGGCCGGAGCCTTTGCAAGCGGCCTCCGCTGGAGTTGGCACAAGCGCTGTCCCGTGAGCCGAGCCTGCAGAAGAGCAGAGCTCAGCAAGCAGCGATGCAGAGCCGTACAGCACGTCTAAACCCCCTCCTTTGCTTTTTGTAGCTGTCAGGAGCCGAGGCAAAAGCAGCTTTAAATGGCTCTGCGAAAATAATCTGGCCAGTGCAAGGAAGTGGAGCGGAGAGAAGGAGGAGATGGGTGGAGGGCCCAGGCCAGGCGGAGGAGAGGGGGAGGCTGCGAGGTGCATGTAAGGTAGCGAGGTCTCCTGCCAGGGCTGAGCGTGCTGCGTTGGGGGTCCTGCCCAAAGGCTCTCTTGAGCAGGAAGATGCTTTGGCCTTAATCTCCACCATCCATCTTCAGAAGAGCAGCTGGCAAGCGGGTGATAGTTTTTTGCAGTGTGAGTTATTGCTCATCTGGTAACAGAGCGGAGAGCATTAAAAAAAAAAAAAATCTGTTTCCCTGTGGGGATTTTATCTGGCCATCATTCAGATATTTAAAGCCACTCGCGCTCAGATTTTTGCCTGCCTCCTTCGAGGAGGGTGTCCACATTGCCTTTGGCCCTGGGGACCTGAACCTGAATCCTAGCCCAGAGCAAAGGTTTCACTTCCCTGGTGCCCTGCATCCAACAGCTGCCAGGAGCGGACGCTCGGGGGCTGTAAATAACCCATCGGAGCAAACGCAGGCTCCGTCCCCTCGCGTGCCCCTGCAGCAGCTACGGGCAGCGATGGGTGGGCACGAAGGGTCTTGAGCACCATGTGCCAGAGATCAGACGATGAACACAATTTGTTGAGGTGCTATTTTACATCCAGCTAATTAATCCATCTAGTTTCCTTTGTTCGGCTTGGGAATAAGGTACAAAGCCCAGACCCAGAGCATTACCTGCCGCTCTTGCTGGCCCAGCATCCTGCATCCGTCTGCTCCCGCTGGGGAGAAGGAGCCCCCTGTTCCGGCAGCAGCTCCGGGTACCAGAGCTGATATTTGATCTCAGATTAGTCATCCAGTTCGTAGAAGGCAGATCTTGAATATATGCTCTCTGCTCTGAAGCCATCTGTCATTGCTTGCTTTCAAATCCCCTCTGAGCACGTCTGCGGAAGGAAGATGAGTTACCTGGGGCTGGGAGAGCCGGTTGGGAAAGCCGGTACCGGGTGTACTGCGAGGGCAAAGAGTCAGAGCATTGAACCCACGCGCTGGCACATCCTGGCAGCTGCGGCGGGGTTTTGGGGACCACTGGCGCTCAGAGGGCTTGGTATAGAGCAGGGGCATCTCCAAGCTGGGGTGGGGAAATAGTCTGGCCTGGCACAAGCTGGAAGCGCCAGCAAAGCTGGCTGGGGCATTGCTTCCGAGGCTGAGCATCGGTCCTGGGGGTTGGTGGGGTTAAATGAGCAAAGCGGGAGGGCGTCAATCAAGAGCATCCCTGGGCCTTCCCTGCAGTGGGGGGGCGGGACTGTCACCCCACAGTGGCTGCTCCCCGTTGGCACCGACAGGTTGTGGTGGCAGAGGGGTGTTAATCACCGGCAATGTCTTCAAGGACATCCAGCGCTGGGTGTTTTGAAGGGGATTCGGAGGAGGGCAGGTCGCTGTGAGCCGTGTCCGTGTGTGCCTCTGGGGAAAGAGAGGTTTCGGCTCACAGCAGTTTGCGTAAGGAGCCTGATGCTGTTTCTGTGGGAGAGCTAACCGGCAGGCTTCGCTCCCCGACCTGCTCCAGGACGGGTCTCGTTGACGCCTGCCGTCTCGCCCGGGCGTGCTGCCAGCCGCCCGCTCCCATGCGCGGGCAGCTCTCTGAAGGTCACGCTTGCTGCCGGCAGATGTGCCGTGGGTGGGCAGGACATCTCCGTGGCTCCTGTACCAGGCCGGGAAAATAGGTTGCAGAGAAAAGCTAACGCTTGAGCGGTCCTCGGCCATCACCGAGGGGTCCCCGGGGGGCACCGCCCTGTCCCCTCAAACCTGCGGGGTGGAAGCGAGCCAGGTAGCTTATTCCGAAACACGCAGGCTGAGGGAGTTGCTGTTTGGGAGGTCTGCGCTGTCCTCACCGCCCGCCTCTTCCCAGCAGCCTCGCATAGATCACGTACCTTTTTACCGCTCCTCGTTATCGTCCTCATCAATAATTAAGCTGCGAGTCCCTCGCTGTTGGCTGCGCCAGGAAGCGGAGGCCGGGCGCGCTCTCCCTCCGCTCAGCCTCCCGCAGGGAACAGCCTGTCCCTGTGCGCGCACTTGCTTAATTGCTTGTGACACCGTTAAATATGGATCTTGGTGGCTTTCCAAGGGCACCCCGGCAGAAGTGCTGTACAAAGGAACCATTACCAGGATAATCGGAGAAGACAGCCCCAGCAGAGCAGAGAAGGCGAGAGAGGATGCCATGCCCAAAGGACATGTCATCTACGAAGGAAAGAAGGGCCACGTGCTGTCCTACGAGGGTAAGTGGTAATCCTCTGCCTTTTTAGGGCAGGCGCCGGGGGTTTGTGCCGCTGTGGCTGGGAGTCGGGAGCTATTTGAGGAAAGGCTGACGAAGTGCAACGGGCCAGCCTCGCGTCTGTACTTCCAGCGTCGTTTCTCTCCCTTCCCACCCCGCCTGCCTACAGCCTGGCTGGGTTTCCCTCTGTCCCATATGGTGTTCTTGCCTTGGAGGCAGCTTTGCTGGCAGGCAGGGGCACGGTGCAGCCATGGCCATGGGCAGGGTTTCTGGTTTTGGTTGGTTTTAGGGAGCAGGGGAGAGGAGAGGACCAGATGGGAAGGTATTGCCTTCATTCCTAGCACCCTGTGCAGGAGCGGACTGTCCGAAAACGTTATGAGAGCATCCCCAAGCTCTTGGGCCAAGGTGGGACTCAAGAACCTGCAAGATGGTGACGAGTCTGGTAGTTTGGCATAAAGGTTTATTTGGACACCAGGTTCCCACCTGCAATGTCTAGGGCGCTGTGCAGCTTTCCCAGCGTGGGGCTGCCCTGCAGGAATCCTCCTGGGCCCGGCAGCACCGTGCCTCAGTATTTTGTGAGCTTTGCTACGGCATCGGTAGCTATTGGAGGGGGTGAAGCTATTCCCGTGCCCCACAAGGAGCCTGTCTGCGGGGTGCGTTGGTCTGTTGCCAGCTGCTACGGCCCGGAGGCGCTGAGGACCCCAAGGGACCTGCCTGGAGCCCCATCTAGGGTGCAGAGCTGCCCCCGGCACAGATGGTGTCACTTGCTAACCAGGCTGACCCTGCCCGGCTGGGAAGCAGAGTACGGCAAAGCAAAGCCAGGCGAGCAGCCGGGCTGCTCCAGAGATGGCTCTGGAGAGACCAAAAAGCCGTGTTGCAGCTCGCATCCCTGCTGCACGGTAACGCGCTTCCTCGGTAAATGCCGACGGTGCCTCGCTGCGTTAGCGCTATCAGCA